GCCCTGGTGGCACATTCCTTAAGTGCTTGGCTGCTAACCCAAAGGCTGGCGGTTTGAACCCATCAGCTGCTTAGCAGGAGAAAGATGTGGCAGTCTGCTTTGGTAAAGATTACAGCCTTGGAAACCCTATAGGGCAGTTCTGTCTTATAAGGTTGCTATGAGTTGTTATAACCGGATGGCAATGGGTAACTTGGATTGGGTCTTAAAAGGTACATTGAAGCTGAATAAAAAAAACAAAAACCATTTCCGACCCCATGTGTTACAGAGTAGAACCCAGCTCCATAGGATTTTCTTGGCTGTAATCTTTAGGGAAGCATATCTACAGGGCTTTCTTCCGTGGCTCTGCTGAGTGGGTTCAAACCGGTTACTAGTCTAATACAAACCAATCGCGCCACCGAGGAACCTGGAGCTGAATACGGAGAGTGCAAACACACGCTCTAGCTTTTGCCTAAAGTAGCAAAGTTAAGTATTGGTAGTGTAAAAACTTGAACCTGGGTTTCTTTGCTCTTTTTCCCGCACTCTTTATTGCAGAAAAAGGAATTTTTTGGTTGAGACAGCAAATTACTTATCAAATCTACAATTTTTGGAAAACCATTGGAGTTTAAGCTTGTGATTATTACCTGCTAGGCCTGCAGCCAGTGAAAACAGTTGCAATTCTTTTTGAACCGAATTTCCTTTTAGAATTCTTTCTTTCTTTAAAAAGATAAGACAGGAAGAACACAGTAAGGCTGGAATACAACCGAATAGGCTGTATTTCCGGAACCCTATTTACCCTTAAGCAAGATGGCAGGGAAACTGTGCACATGCGCAGGAGCGTCGCTTGGACGCGGAGTTCCGTGGCGTAAGGTCGCGATCTGGGCGTTGATTTGCGGCGCTCGGGTCGAGGGGCGGAACCGGAAACGCCTGTGTTGTTCGGCTCAGCTGGTGCAGTCCCGGCGTCTATCCTTTGTCGAGTTCTCTCCGTAGGTGCTGTTTTTGCTGAGGTGCCATGGGGGAGTCAGAGAAGTTTCACTACATCTACAGTTGTGACCTGGACATCAACGTGCAGCTCAAAATGTGAGATTGCGGGGTTGCTGGGACGGGGAGGCAAGAACCTGCGGGTT